AAATAAAAAATTTATATCTTTATGTTTGAAGCCTGAAATGTGGCAAAAGGTTGAAAAGTTCAAGGGGGCCGAATACTTTCGCAAGGCACTGTATGTGACAACCATAATGACTTTAACTTGCTAAAATGTGCTAATTTAACACAGACACCTGCAGAGATACAGGTTGCACCAACCAGTACCAAATGTTACCACAATACCTTATTTTGTTCTATTGCAAATATTAAAAAAACAAATATTCAACTGTACTCATAACTGTTATAACTGTACTAATCAACTAGCTAGAATCAGTTTTGCATCAGACATGTCCTATACATTTTTAGATGTAAGAGCTAAACTACGTCACATAATAGGAAACCTCAGTCTGACTTCCATTTGACAGAAAACAACTGACTAATTTTCTGTAAAACCCTTCTCTGTAAAATATTTTTCTATGTCTTTGTTATAGGGTGGCTTACAGTACATATGTACCATATGTACATTTTGCCAGCAGTCATATCACCCTGCAACTCACAACTGGCAGCCCACTGAAGCTAAGCAGGTGTGAGCCTGGTCAGTACCTGGATGGTAGACCTCCTAGGAAAAACTAAGGTTGCTGCTGGAAGAGGTGTTAGTGGGGCCAGCTTTGGGCGTTCACCTTGCAGTCCATGTGGGTCCTAATGCCCCAGTATAGTAACGGAGACACTATACTGTAAACAGGTGCCGTTCTTCGGATGAGACGTAAAACCGAGGTCCTGACTCTCTGTGGTCATTAAAAATCCCAGGGCGTTTCTTGAAAATAGTAGGGGTGTAACCCCGGCGTCCTGGCCAAATTTCCCTTACCAATCATGGCCTCCTTATAATCCCTATCTATGAATTGGCTTCATTACTCTGTTCTCCTCCCCACTAATAGCTGATGTGTGGTGAGCGTACCGTCGCATCATCCAGGTGGATGCTGCACATTGGTGGTGGTGGAGGGGAGTCCCCATTACCTGTAAAGCGTGTGTCCAGAAAAGCGCTATATAAGTTTAAGCAATTATTATTATTATTACCTAGAAAAACTGTGTCTACAGTTTAAGAACCAGAAACACCTCAAAATAAAACATATATACTATATTTTTAATTAAAAATAAACAATTTGTTTTGTGTGTAGCAAAGTGAAAGCAGATGCAATACAGGTGACAGCAACTACAGTAGGTCTCCCCTTGTAGAAGAACAGAAATGGGAGAGAAAAGGCTTGGAAGAGTCAGCCAGATCTTTGCTTTCCTGTCATTCCTGTGACTTTCTAAGCACATACTCTCTTATTTTACTTATGTCTGCATGCCATCTCCTTGGGGTAAATGCTGTCTACACATAATGCTAGAATTTTTAAACCTACTGTAGCTACAACAGAGACAGGCTTCTTCTTTTACTCTCACTGTTTTAGACAGGATGATGTACCTGTCACATTATGACTTCAAACACTTTGACAACAGTCTTTGACAAAAGCAGAAACAGATCTGGTTGTAGGCAATTGTTTGGAAATTTCCACATTCCCTTCAATATGTCATCTTTAGGATAATTGGAATCTGGCCATTCAGCACTGGATTCTATACTTTATTCACCTGGTGCTATCCACTGCTCAGTTTCTTAGTACCTGGGAGGAAGGCAGGCAGTGAAGGTGTGCACTACAGGTGACTGCTCATACAGCCAAGTGTTTATTACACTGTAATTCTAAGACTTCTTTGTGATTTTATTTCTGGAGTCGGAAACCTGGCATGAAACCTGGATAGTGGTACCACTAACACTATACATGTGTATGTGTTGGGGGGGGATCTGTGAAGCTGGACTAATATTATTTTAATTTTGTAGGAAGAAACTGATGTATTGTTTATAATGTTTATAATTGTTTATAATGGTTCAGTTCATGAAGTCTGTACACATACACATTAAGTCACACAAATATGGGGTTTGTTACATCATAGATCACACAGCCATTTAAGTGATTTGTAACATATCATGGGACTTGTTCTAATGTATATTTAGGAAACCTGTATTTCAATTGTCATATGCAGATAAAAGGACTGCAGGATTGCTAAAATATTGTTAAGCTATTCCTTAATTCCTTCCCCATAACAAATATTGAGTGTAAGATTATTAGATGAGTCAAGACAACCTAGTGAATTCGATAATAATGACATAACGTCAGCAATCATCACTGTAACTGTATAAAAATTCAGTGTTTTAATGGTTAAATATATTAATCTTTACAGCGATTCTACAAGTCATGTGCTAATTCAAACCCAGCAGCTGGCTAATTTTTCTCTCTATGGCACAATAAAGCAAATAAAACCAGCACCAGCAGTGTATCAAATTAACATGCAATGAGATTTTGATTGTTACAAACTATAGCTATTTAAATTCAGTTTATATCTTGCTAGCACTAAGCATTTGGGAGACTTCTAAAATTTGCAAAGCAAATTCAAATTATTGTAAAAATGTTTTGCTTTAAGGTAAAGACTGGCTTTCTTTGTGATTCTATAACATTATTAATAGTTTGCCTAATAATAGCATTGCAAATACCATAGCAAAAGTTCCTGAAGGAGCTGTTGTGTTGTACCCATCATTCATAAAAGCTTGAAATTAGGTTTTCACATGTAAATAATGGTTCATTTTAACCACAGTCAGTGCTTTCAGATAACACGACCGCAGTAATTTTGTGTGCAAATTGTAGATCACCATTTCACACTTTGCTGTTACAGAAATTTGCTTTTAGTTACCATTTCCAGCGATGATTCACAGTAATTACAATACATATCATGCATATGCTTTACAAAGACCCATTATTATAAAAACAACACCACCATTCTATCTTCTGAATTACTGCCTTATTCATGCTATATTATAGGTATTCAAGCACAGTTTGTGTTGTTGTTGTTTTAGGTGCACAAGAAAGTCATACTGGGAAATCATCAAGGGGAGCCTGAAATGAGATTTCTACTCTTACAACAAACTGAGCAATCAAGGTATTTCTTGATGTTGAACACACACTGTGTACATATGGTGTGCCCCAATATGCCTCCAAAGCAAGAGAGAACCCCAACGGACAGGGTTGCAGAACGTTTTGGCTCATTTACAGAATATGCTCTGGAGAAATTTGTGCTGAGCCATAGATGCCTGCCGCCCAATACACTAACCCTCACAAGCATAAAAAGAAAAACATAAATGAAAAAGTCCCTGCAGTTATGTGTTCAATATGTATATATTTCTACATTCACTGTACATGCATACATACAGTACTTTATCCATACAAACACTCTCTTCTAAACATACAGTACACATCAACTAATGATTTTGCTAAAAAAAATAGCCCACAGTCCAAAAATGTGAATGCAAAGCAATAATGATGAAAAACACTAATTGGAAAATTTTGTTTAAAAAGAATTTAAAGTGGCCAGATCTTGTGCTGTTGAGCTCAACCTGCTGGTTTATTGCTACAAAAGAAAAAGATGGTGGCACCGACTTGTTTGAACCTTGTTATGATACCAGCTCATGGATACCAAGAAAGTTGTACCAAAACGGTGAACAAGTGGCACCACCAGAGTCGGGAGGGTTCACAGAATTCCTGTGAACTTACAGTGTCAGACTTGCGATTTGGGGGCTGTTTTGCTTCTAAAGCTAATCTTTTCTTTCTGGACACAGTGTGAAAAGAAGCAGAAGCACAGAGAACATATAAACTAACAAATGGCATCTGTAAAAAAGTAATTCCCAGCGTTATATTTTTAAAATAGCCACATCTACTATAAAGTGAAATATCAAAGTTTAATGAGGAACACACAGACAAAAAACCTCAACAGTGATACAACAAATGTCCACAAATGTGTAAGTAGACATGTTATATTGCTACACTAAATTGGGGTGTGCAACAGCCAAAGGATGGAAAAGTAAATAAAACTGAAAGTGCGATCAAGGATCAGTACACAGCTGGTCGAAACTAGGATATAAACTAGTGATAAGCAAGCGATCTGGGAAGCACTAAAAAAAAAGGGAACCAGTTTTAGGGAACATGATGAAGATTCAAAGGAATAACCCAGATGACGGAGCACTGAGCAGGGGATGAGTACCGCGTTCACACAGCCCAAGTAGCAATTGCAGCCTGGGTGGAGAGGTGTTTAGCTAAAATTTGCACAGATATTATAGATACATATAAAATAGGTATTTTTGTTTTGCAAAAATTAACTTTGCCTGACTGTGTCAGTCCATCAAAACACAAGAAGTAGTCTGTCATTCTGTAATATCGATAATGAGGCAATTTAGTGAATGTGCAGCAAATCTTAAATTATGCACACTTCACATTTACTTACAGTATAACATCCTGGGTTGTGCAAGATTTGTTTTGACAGCATCATTATCACCCTGTAGCCTGATTGCATTTCTTCACACAATCTAAACAGGGATGGTTAGTACTAAGATGGACATTTTCCAACAATAAACATGTCGCTGCAAGAAGTGGTGATGGTATACCAGTAGGTGGCACTCTTCCCTGTGTTCCAAAAATTCCAAACCAATTCCCCATTAGATTGACTGGGGACACTGCTGTAGGAAGTGCTGACCTTGAGACAAGATACTGTAACATCTTCGCTTCTGGGTATTATGTATTGCACAGTGGGACTGCTGGCCTGTAATGACTGCTTGTCATCACAATGAGTTTATTTCCAATGTGTAAATTATGTTACTAACTTTTGGGATGAAAAGAGCTAAACAAAACCAATGAGTTATTATTAATTATTCATTAGTTGCTGGGTAAACAACACTGTAAATAAAAAATCAGTGGCAACAGTGACAACCACATTTGAGCATTATAGCTAAGATAAAGGTGGCAGATACAATACTATCTTGCACTAAAGAGGAGACAAATATATAGCACTCCCTGCTGTATTAACCAACATGCCTCAGTATTCTTGGTGGCTAGGCATGAAAAAAGCAGAACCTCCTATAGCCATAATTTATGGTGAATGAGATTAAATTTCCCATTCCTTGGCTGGAAATGGATCATACTGTATGGACACAGATGCAATCAAAACCCAAATGGAAACTGATGATTACCACACAAAGACATGCAGTGATCTATAAAATGAGTGAAACTCACAGAGAAGTGTTTTTGTTTTGCTTAGAGCAAACAGTTTCAAAACTTCGGCTTGCTTGAAAGTATGATGAGGTTATTATATTCACAGCATTTTATTATTAGGAACTTTCATTTAAAGAAACAAAAGGCACAGACAAGAAATTTAACTGGTAGCTATGAACAACAATAAAAAGCTGGTGTACTTCATTTTTTAATTTTCCTACAGAGAGCTGTGCTAAACATATTTGTGTGCCCTAATATTATCAATTTGCATTTCTGCATGAGACATGAGAGTGTGACCTACTCTTAACTCTATGTGTCACTGATCAAAGGCATCAGCTAGGCTATAATGAAATAAGAAGTAAAAAAGAAATAGGAGAAATGCCCTATTTTTGTTTGTTACAAATAATATATATTTCATAGATGTTCCTTGCCAATCTCACTTCACAATACATTCACCCAATTGACTACACATGGCTGAGTGCCAGGCAGACATTAAGAGGGACGAAACAATGACACTTAGATCCTTGAAACAGACTTGTTCAATAATTGCTTTTTTGGAGGCTCAGACATCACTCTTCCTGTCTGATTGAAACACCATACCAACTTCAGGCATCTGTAAAGCAAGGACAGCTGTCATCTTACAGAAAGCATTTAAAAAAATTCTCATCCTGAGATATGATTTGCTGACTTTGCTGGCTGCTTAAATATACTTACCTGTTTGCTGTGAGAAGATTGCCAGTTTTGTGGATTGTTGATTGCAACATTATCCTTAAAGAAATCTTGCAGGACTCAAAGAAATCCTGTAGGATTTCGGACAAAAATGATGACTGGTTCCAGCAAGTAAGCTGCCAGACTCCATGAGGAATAATTTATTATTCCTGTGAAACACATTCTGCCAGATATTCCAAAAGTTATATCTTGCAGGATTTTAATGTACAGTATGTATATGGATAGTGATACAATTCTCACTTGTATTTTAGGCTAGTAAAGAGTGTCTTCAACTCTCTTAAAAAAATACAGATAGCTGGCAAATCAAGTTCTGTAAGACACGCTCACTGAGAAAAATGTCAGAGACATCCTGTCATCTAAACAGATTCTCTCAGTGGCAGACAATATGTAGTTCACTTGAGGACAGACTTTCATCACCTTCCCTGGCCTGAACAATCCCCAGATCTCAATCCTACCATGTACGAATATCCTATCACAACTACAGTACATACTGTACTTCAAAACATATTAAATGTGACTAGGCTGCAAATATTTAAAAAACTTTTGGAAGCTATTTCATGATGAGGCTGTTCTTACTGTTGTAACAGGCCCAACACAATATTCAGACCACTCAGAGTACATAACAAGGCCAACTGCCATCTTTCAGGTAAATTAAGCCCTCATCATCAGCAACTCTTTGCCTTTCTGGCCTAAAACCAGCTGACCCAACTCCTAGCCTTCGAATGAATGTGCCATTGAGACTGAGTTGAAAAACTCCCAAATTTGTTTCACTCTTACCCTGAGATTTTAAAAGCCATCGTCCAGTAAAAATCTTGAAATCTTACTTAATTTCACTATTGCTCCACATCCTACTATCTACTGTACACTACTGAAATAAATATTACACCTTGCTCCAAGAAAATAAGGGAAGAGTTGTAGCAATGCCAATAAATAGAATCCAGCTGCCATTCCCTGACATACTTTACAGTATATCTTAATTTTAATATCTTAAAATTATTATAAGAATGATGCAACAGGCTAGAATTTGCTGCTCTGCTAGCTTACCTGAATGATGCGAGAAAGACTTTTCCTTTATTTTCTGATCTCCTTCCAGCTGTGCATGGAAGTCAAGCAGTGGCAGTAGGATCAATTCAACTGGAGGTGAACTACTGTACATGAGTGTAGTTAAATGTTTCCAGCCCAGAATTCAATGGGAGCCACCCTCCAGAAACATAAAAAAAAAGAAAAAGCAATGTCTCTGTAGAGACATCTCAACTGTTTTTATATGAGAACAGGGTTGTTTGGCCTCGAGTCCCACGTTTCTTGTGGGAAGAACGAATACTAACTGAACCTGCTTATTTACACCTGTGGGAGGTTATTGTACTTGAGATAAAAGAAGGGATATCCATAGACATCTCCACCTTACCAAGGTCAGAGGTTGAAAATGCTCTTTGTCTCTCTTAATCCCTATGGGGACACGCATGCATAATTACCAGTGATCCACCTCCTGATTCAAGCATTTTTTTTAATAAAGCAGCCAGATAACAGTAAAAGGCCATTTGTTACAAGAAAAGCCTATCAGTTTCAGAAAGCGAGCTTCTGATTACCTCCTTACACACACCACTAACAATTAATAATTTAATGTCATTCAGATTAGATTAGTCACAAGATTCCACTGATGTTCTACATTAAAACTTTCCTGCACCATTTAGCACAATGTGGTGAATCAGCAGTTCTGCTATTAAGAGAATTCAGCCTATATACTAAGTACTATAACGTTCTGATATAACTTTATGTGCCAGATACATTTTTTGTTGGAGATTATCCCAAAAGGATAGGGCATGGGTGATGATTATATGGATCACTGCAATGTTAAACTATTACATTTTTTCTAAGTATCTGAAACATCTCTGAGTTAAAAAATATTTTAGCCCACTGTTTTACAGTTGTTATTTTACTTTGTGCTTATGAACGTCATCTACAAGGCCTTCAGGAATAGACCTAGGATTTTATGCTGATTCATCAATGTCCTTACATCTCAGGAAGCAATAAGAGGCCAAAAGAATGATTGACTGTAAAGTAAAAATGTGCCGAATTCAGATCAAGGGCAGCAGTGTTGTATTTCAGGAGCTTCAGACAAACCCCTTGTCATGTTAGGTATTTCGTTGAGTGAGCAATCCGAGATACAGTTTTAACACTAACCCGCCAAGCAGAGGGAACAAGAGCCTGAGCCATGAGGGCAGGCCTATTGGAACTGTAGTGCACTGAGCCAGGTGCTGCTGCAAGACAGTGATGGGGGGAGGTAGGGAACTACTGTATGCCCTAGTGCAACAGTTAAATGTACTGCAACCAGATT